GGGCCCAGCCGCTCCGCGGCATGTGGGATCCACCCGGACCGGGGCACGGACCGGTGTCCCCTGCATCGGCAGGTGGACTCTCAACCGCTGCGCCGCCAGGGAAGCCCACCGGTCCATTTTTTGATGGGGTTACTTGTTTATCAAGCTGCACGAGTTGTTTTAAATTTTGGAGAGTGATCCCTTGTCAGTGGCATCGTTTGCAAATATTTTCTCCCATTCTGTGGGTTGTCTTCTCGTTTTTATGGTTTCCTTTGCTTGCAGAAGCTTTTGAGTTTAATGAGGTCCCGTGTGTTTATTTTCGTTTTAATTTTTCTTTTATTTTGGAGTTTAATTGATTAACAGCGTTGTTACTCACAGGTGTACAGCAGTGATTCAGTTATACATATACATGTCTCTCCTCTTTTTCAAATTCTGTTCCCATTTCGGTTGTTACAGAATAGTGAGCAGAGTTCCCTGTGTTACACTGTAGGTCCTGTTGCTTATTTATTTGAAATATAGTAGTGTGTGTATGTCAGTCCCATACTCCCAGTTTATCCTTGTCCTCCACCTTTACCCTTTGGTAATCGTAACTTTGTTTTCTAAGTATATTTTGTTTTAGATTCTGCATGTAAGTGATATCATGTGATACTTGTCTTTCTGTGTCTGGCTTACTTCACTTAGTATGATAATCTCCAAGTCCATCCACGTTGCTGCAAATGGAATTATTTTATTCATTGTTTTAATCGAAGTATTGATGATGTATAGTGTTGTGTGCATCTCTGCTGTACAGCAAAGTGACTCGGTGATTCACATATATACATTGGTTTTTTTTAAATACTCTTTTCCATTATGGTTTATCCCAGGAGGTTGGTTGTGGTTCCCAGTGCTAAGCAGTAGGACCTTGTTTTTTTATCTGTTCTAAATATGATAGTTTGCATCTCCCAACCCCAGACTCCCAGTCCATCTCTCTCTCCCTTCACCCGTCCTGTTTGGCAGCCACCAATCTGATCCCTGTGTCTCTGAGTCTGTTTCTGTTTTGTAGATAGGTTCATTTGTGCCATATTTTAGATTTCACGTGTAAGTGATATCACATGGTATTTGTCTTTCTCTTTCTGACTTCACTTAGTATGATACTGTCCAGTTGCATCCATGTTGCTGCAAGTGGCATTATTTTGTTCTTTTTTATGGCCAAGTAGTATTTCATTGTATATACGTACCACATCTTCTTTATGAAGATGGACATTTAGGTTTCTTCCATGTCTCAGCTGTTGTAAGCAGTGCTGCCATGACCACAGCGGTGCATGTATCTTTTTCAGTTATAGTTTTGTCTGGGTATATGCCCAGGAGTTGGATTGTTGGATCATATGGTAGCTCTAGTTTTAGTTTCTGAGGAACCTCCATACTGTTCTCCACAGTGGCTGCACCAACTTACATTCCCACCAACAGAGTAGGAGGGTTCTCTTTTCTCCGCACCCTCTCCCGCATTTATTGTTTGTGGGCTTCTTGATGATGGCCGTTTTGACTGGTGTGAGGTGATATTATAGTTCTGATTTGCATTTCTCTAATAATTAGTGATGTTGAGCATCTTCTCATGTGCCTGTGAATATCTGTATGTTTTTTTATTTGGAGAAAAGGCTATTGAGGTCTCCTGTCCATTTTTTGATAGGATTGTTTGCTTTTTTGATATTGAGTTGCA